AATGTCTACTTTAGAACTAAAAACAAAATAATAACCATAAAAGTCTAAATCATTTCTTCAATAATAGCCATAAGATCCCATATCTATTTCTACATAAAAATAACTTGACATAGTATATAACATAAAACTGTGAAGCAAACACACACACGGACTTTGAAAAGGGGTTTCAAACCAACACCTCTTTGCTGTAGCAAATGTATGAAATATACAAATCTCGACACCACAATAAACACCAACCCCGTTGCCCTGCCTCGCTTTCCTTACCATGCTGGTGCATGCGTGGGGTGAAGCTCAGAGTCCTTTAGCGGGTGCTGGGTCCCCAGTTCTGTGCATGGCTTCTTTTCAGAACCAGACCACCTCGGTCTCTTACCTCTGTGCTCAGTGCTCTCCTCTCCCTCTCTACAATGGCCAGTGAGAGGCCCTCCCTTGCAACCTGGCAATGCTGATAGATGAACTGAGATCTGACCGGGGGTGGGTTACTTTGTACTATTGCCATGGGTGTAAAGGGGAATGATTCAAATCTCAGCTTGGATTAGCTCAAGCCCAAATAAACCCCTACACTGAAGGGCTACGTCTACACTGGCATGATTTTCCGAAAATGCTTTTAATGGAAGAGTTTTCCATTAAAGGCATTTTCGGAAAAGCACGTCTAGATTGGCAGGACGCTTTTCCGCGAAAGCACTTTTTGTGGAAATGCGTCCATGCCAATCTAGACGCAGTTTTCCGCAAAAAAGCCCCAATCGCCATTTTCGCCATTGGGGCTTTTTTGAGGAAAACAGTTCTGTGCTGTTTATACTGGCCCTTGTGGGCAAATGATTTGCACAAGAGGGCTTTTGCCCGAACGGGAGCAGCACAGTATTTCCGCAAAAACACTGACGATCTTACATGAGATCTTACATGAGATCGTCAGTGCTCTTCTGGAAATTCAAGCGGCCAGTGTAGACAGCTGGCAAATTTTTCCACAAAATCGCATGATTTTGCAGAAAAACTTGCCAGTCTAGACACAGCCTAAGTGTTTAAGATGCCAAGACTCCAAGTTGTTTGTGAAGACACAGGCTAACACAGTGACCCTCTGAGACTCACTAACTGATTCCAGTGAGAACCAGATCAGTTGCTTGGAGACCTATTGTGGTTGAGAGCAGCAAATGAGCCCTGGGGATCCACACTAGGGCAGGGGTGGGGAAGAATTAAGAAGGTCCTTTCCCTTTCTCTGTGCTTTGATTCTGGGATCAAGGGAAATCTCCATGCCCAGAAAAGGTCTCCCAGGCTGGCTGCTGAAGGACTTTAAACAACTGTCTCCATTGGGTCTGTGCTGGGAGGCGGGTCTTTGTCTTCTCCGGAATCTCTCTGCTCTTCAAATACCCTCTGGAGTGCGAGTTTGAGAGAGCCACAGAATCGCCGCTTCCCGTAGCTCCCGACTAGAAAGTAAATAAAGGGGTTGATGCTGCTGCTTGCACAGGCCAGCATGTAAAGTATCGGAGTGGGCTTAATTATGCGCAGGTAGGAGAGGAAAAATGCAAAACTCTGAGGGAGAGTGAAGAGGAGGAAGAAGAGGATGGTGAGCAGGATGACGGCATAGAGCTTGCCGGGCGGGCGCCGCTGGGAGCTCCATCGCACCTTGATAAACAGGGTCAGACTGGACAGAACCATGATGGGGGAGAATATCAGGACATTCAGAATAAAGACGTACAGGAGGGAAGTTTCACAGAATTCATTGAGGAGAAGACAAAAAATGCACACGGAACAGAACAGCAGGAAGGGGAGAGCCCAGAGCAGGGCAGACACGATGGCAGACAAGTGCCTTGGCCGGCGACATCGGTACCAGATGGGGCAGAGGACGGACACGCACCTCTCGGTGCTGATGGCCGCCAGGAGGTACAGGCTGGTGCTGTACGTCCACACACACAGCACTGTAATGAGAAATAATATGTGAAGAAACTCAGGATTGCCACAAAACAGATATTGTACTATGGAAGCGGCACGATGGGCAACCGAGCAGAGGAGGAAGCCAGTGTCAGCGACGGCCAGGTTGAGGATGTAGACGGTGAAGGGGTTCCTCTTCATGCGGAAGCCCAGGAACCAGATGACAATCCCGTTCCCCACCAGCCCCAACAGGCAGATGATCAGAGTGATGCTCAGAGTGGTCACATTAGGGGCAAGAATCCGTGAGCATCCACTGCCATTATAGAAAGCTTTGTAATCCAGGCTAGAGACTGTTGCTGGAAGGGTCTGTGTGCTCAGCTCAACCATCATGGAACCGCTGCTGCGGGATGCTGGTGTCCCCCGCTGCCCCTCTCTCGCACACGCCTGTTGGCAGAGAGCAGACGGGGAAATCAGCGACTGATCCCCCAACGCTGTTATCACTGCTCATTCCAGCCCCTCCGCAGCCACTTGCCATGGACCAGCCAATCCCCGTGGCTTTGGAGATGCAGGGGACAGAGAGAAACATGGAGAAAAGCCCAGGGGTGGGGAGCAGCCTGGACTGACAGCAAGCGGCAGAGAGACAATGAAACACAGGGGGAGAGCTGGACAGACAGACAGGGACAGAGAGAGAGACATGTGACAGGATGTTGGCTGGCCATGGATGGTCAGGAAACAACATGCAGGAGGAGGGAGGAGAGAGGATAGTGGGAGAGAAAGAGAATTATCCTGTGTAATCTAAGTAGCAGTGAATCCTTCCAGCCGTCACTCACCTGACTTCCTCCTGAACCGCGTGTTCACAGGAGCCGGGCTGGGCTGGATCCTCTTCAGAATCTCAGTGTCTCATGGTCACTAACTGCAGTTCTCTGAGCAGGTTCTTCTTGGGCACATTTTACAAGCAATCGTCCATTACCCAGGTGCAGAGGATGTCCCTGCCAGTCCCTGTGCAGCTTCTGCACCCAGAGCCTGCCAAGTGCAGGCAGAGAATTGTCTTGCCCACCCTGGTGGGCGGGACACAGACATGACGGCATCCGAAAGTCTCATGAGCATGGGGTGGTCTGATAGCATCAAGGAACACGGCTCTGCTCACTAGTTCCCTAAATGAGCAGGAAGTGGCTGGCCCAAGATTACTATAGTAGGAAGCTGTTATGAGGCAGATAAATGCAGCCTGGGTAAGGGTCACATATGTCCGTATTATTTTTATGTTGATACATTAGGTTTTGTTCTTTGATTCTGTGATATACGGAAATCTCCATCCCAAAGCAGAGTCTCTCAGGCTAAGAAATTTAATTGATCATCTCCATTGGGCTGGCCCTAGGATCATCTCCATCCTAGAATCATAGAATCATAGAGCTGGAAGAGACCTCAGAAGGTCAAGTCCAGCCCCCTGCTCTAGGCAGGACCAATCCCAACTAAATCAACCCAGCCAGGGCTTTGTCAAGCTGAGACTTAAACACCTCTAGGGATGGAGACTCCGCTACTTCCCTAGGTAACCCATTCCAGTGCTTCACCACCCTCCTAGTGCAATAGTTTTTCCTAGTATCCAACCTGGACCTCTCCCACCACAACTTGAGACCAGAGTGGCTTTGAGACTCTATCACTGAAACCTCCAAATGAAGCAAAGTGGCTCTTTTGACATTTTACTGGAAGTGCTTTGAGATGTGCTTAGGAGACTCTTCCTGAATATTTTGAACGGGAAATCTCATAAAATAATGGCCCAATAGTAACGTACAGCCCTAATGAACTCTCTGACACTAATTACCATTTCACTGTTGCTGTATTAAATGTTTTACATGAATTAGGAGAACTGACCCAATGCTTTCAGAAGAGCTCTTTAACAATGGAAGCTGTACAGTTAGCAAGGGCCTGGATCCGCCAGATGAGAGGGCCGTACCTCGGAGAAACAGTCTCTTGGAGTAGTGCTCTCCAACCTCCTTAGCCACAACATCAGTTTTTCCAAACCAAGTGCAATGTAAGATCCACCTCAAACCCAAAGGTTTGACCTAGGGTGGTTAATGTAGTCATACGGAGTTGCTAATGAAGCCCGGGATTGAATTTCCCGGGCTTCATTAGCATGATCGCGGGGGGCGCCCTAAATAAGAGGTGGGTAGGTAGGATCGGCAGGCAACAGGAACTCAGGAGTAAGATATCCCCCCCTTTTCAAGAAAACCAGAAAACTGGGGATATCTCTCTTCGAACCACACAATGAAATACTGTTTGTGGTAGCAGAGCTGCTTTTATCACATTGTGGAATATACAGACTAGTTTCTTTCTTATGTAGCCAGTGGGTAATCTCTATCCATTGTATTTCATTTGTGAACTGCTCCTTTCTTTCAGTCCTTCTGGGATTATGGACATTTATTAATGATCATACTTAATGGACATTGCGACAACGTGTGTTGTTTAACAATATCAACATTTACATTAATTACTTTCTTTTGAAAACCTTTTCTTCAGGTGAGTACAATAGGCACCAGTCAATGTTAATTCTGCTCATGTCCACACTGTCCAAATGCATTTTTTTCCCAATCTCTCCTTCTGGTTGGTGGGTTTGCAGGAAGAACATACACAACCTACTCCAAGCATAATTTAAAAAAAAATATGGTAGGTTATGTATTTTGGCAGTGAAAGATATATATATATTTAAAGCAAGACACCATAGTGATGGGCATTTCAAAGCAGACACAAAATACCTAATCAAAGTTCCCAGAAGTATGTTTGGTAAAAATTACAGAAAAATTAAACAGTTAAGCAAGTGATAATTTTCAAGATAATTAACAGTCAGTTACAGCCTAAATATAGTAGGAGAATTTCTCAGATTAAAATGATTTTTTTCTTATCTTATCTTTTCCATGAGATTTAATCATTAGAAAGCTATTTCCATTATGCCAAGCAGATCAAAAGCAAACATGTACAGGGAGCAGAGACCTGATACTTTCAGATATCACAAAGCCTCCCAGTACTCATGCAAAACCTCTGATCTCAATGTATCTCCCTGTCCAATGCATTGCAGGCATTTCTCACATGGGGTCCATTATGGACTGAGTGTCAGGTGTGGCACAGGAGCCCACAGGGAAATTTTTAGTATCCTGAAAAACAGAGTCTTCCTCAAATAACTTTTGGAAAAGGACCCTATGGGGAGAATCTCAATTACTGACCAACTGACCCTGATAATCTAAGTTGGATCCACACTGCTCCAGCTCCAATACACACTTAGTCAAAGCTCAAGACACTTCAGTACACACTCAGTTCAGTAGAGGGAAGCAAGGTAAGGATTTGGTGGATGGATTCTGTGTTCTTTGTCATCATTAACACTATATGGATCTTCTTTTTCTCTCTCCCAACATCCATTCTGCACCCCTGTCCCTTTTCTATCATTCCCTTTCCATAAACGATTGACAGCCCTTCCTATATCTTTCTTCCCCCACTGCTCCTCTCTCCATCTTGAAGTGTCTCTCTGCCTCTGCATCCAAAGTGGTCTACACCGACAAGCCTTTCTCCATGTCTCTCTCTGTTACTAAGACCCCTCAAGGCCATTATGGGCTCTGGAGATCTCACACGCAGAACCTAGCAGTTCCATGCCAAGAGGCCTGGGTGCAACTTGAAAAATCAGTGAAACACGGCATGGGGAAAGTCTGAGACACTGATACCCCATCTGTTCTCTGCCTACAGGTGCGTGTGATAGGGGCAGAAGGAGAGACCACCATCCAGCAGCAGAGGTTTCATGATGACTGACCTGAGGACCACATCCCTGCCTCCAATAGAATCCAGCCTGGAAAATGGAACCATATATAATGGGAGCTATTTCAATAGATCCAAACCAATTAGCGATGACCATGTACTGACAGCACTATTTAGTATTACTCTGATCGTGTGCCCATTGGGGCTGGTGGGAAATGGGGTGGTGCTCTGGATCCTTGGCTTCCGTGTTAAGAGGTACCCCATTCACCGTCTATGTCCTCAACCTGGCTGCTGCTGACTTCAGCTTTCTCCTCTTCTTGGCTCTTATCCTAATAGTCATTATATTGGTTTTATTTTACTTACTTAGGTACTTGGAATTGTTGCTGGTGTTCACGTTAGCCTCCAGCGTATCCCTCCTGACAGCCATCAGTGCGGAAAGGTGCGTGTCTGTCGTTTTCCCCGTTTGGTACCGATGCCACCGCCCCAAGCACTTGTCTGCCATTCTCTGCGCCTTGATCTGGGCTCTCTCCTGCATGCTCACTGGACTGAGAGCGTATGTTTGCTTTTCTGACTCCAAAGAACATTGTAAAGTGATTTTCATACAACTCGCTAACATGAATATCCTGATATTCACTCCCATCACAGTTCTGTCAAGTCTGATCCTCATCATCAAGGTCCGAAGAAGCTCCCTGCAAAGCCAGCCAAGAAAGCTCTACATTGTTATTTTGCTCAATGTCTTCTTCTTCCTCCTCTTACTTGTCCCCTTCAGCATTGTCACCTTCTTCCTTAACTCTATTAACTATAACTATTTTATTTTTTCTAGTTACATGCTGGCCTCTATCAACAGCAGCGTTAACCCAATTATTTACTTCCTCGTTGGGCGCTATAGGAATAAAAAATGTAGGGGATCAGTTAAAAAGGCACTCCAGAGCGTATTTGTAGAAGAGGCCAATAACAGAGAGGAAAGGGATAGTGCTACTTAAATCCCTATGGCAACCAACCTGGAAGACCCTATTATGGGCTGAATGTTTGTCTAGAACCATAGTTCCCAGCACGAAGGCTGCTTGCAGCCCAATCAGTACCCAGTTACAGCCCTTCTGACAGCACAGACCCATATAGATACTATATGTGTTGTGTGGCTGCATATGTGGTCCACAATGATTGGCTGAGAACCACTGATCTAGAATGATCATAAAATTCAAAGAAATTAGAGATGAGAAAGTTCCCTCATTCTATTCTCCTGTGTTCTGCGTATCTAG